GTCCTCAGGTTTTTTAGCTTGCAAATCTAATTCAAGATTTGAGCAAACATGACCACTTTCCAATCCCTCTCTTCGAAACTGAAAACCAATTGAATGTAGGGTTTTTACATACTTCGCAATTTTTTAAAAAGCCCCCTGCAAAAAAATCTTCATGATCAATGCATCCACACAAAATGAAAAAGAGGAAAATAGTACTTGAACCTTCCACCCCTTATTGAAAAAAAATTTAAAACCAGAAAGCCTCTATTTTAAGCAACTTGAAACTTCATATATACTTTTGTAGCAAAGAAATCATGTTACCAACAGGTATATGGTAATCCATCTTTTCTTCACCAGATGACTCAACTGTCAGTTTAAGGGTGAGCAGATTTATGTGACCAGTAACACTGAAGAAAAAAATAGTCAATTTGTAAATGTCTACATTTATTGTAATCTTACAAAACACTATAATATATTTGAAATGCCACATGCACTAACCAACTGAACATTTTAACCTAAGATAGCAATAATAGTGTTATTTGCATTTCCCTATATGATACACACAGGAGAAATGACAAAGAAATTAGAAATATGAAAATGCAGGGTGAGAACAGGGAAGGGAGAAGAAAAGTCTTCAGTCAATGAGTATCTTTTCCACATGCTATCAGAAAAAAAGCCCACAAATACAAACACTGAAATCAAGAATTAAGAAAAAAACCCACCAAGTATCCACCCTGTTTAGATTGGCATAATACAACTATTTTGGCAAAGCATTATCTGGTATTTAATTGGTACTAATTGATAGAAGATGGCATGGTCAACCCTGGAGCATCTTACAGGGTGTCCGTGGTTTCAAAAAACTATCTGTTAACTCTGCTTCTAAACTTACCAGAGCTTCAAATAAAATCTCAGTCATCTACACTGCCTTTATACCAGCTCACGCACGGACAAGGTTGGGAAAAAACCAACTACAGGATGAAAAAAGTAACATAACTTTAAATAAATTTATTTTAATGGAATCTTTAAATGGATCTGCTGTATAGTCACTCTCCATTAATACAGAATTTCATAAATGAGCAGTATAAACCCTAACTTGGAGTATAAATCTGAATATTTACAAGATCAGACATCATCACAGTCTTATTATATATGCTTTTATAGTTGTTATTTTGCAATGCATTCTTTACTAGGAAGCATTTCTTTACTAAGATGGTGGTCAAAGACAGGACCTGCCTTACTGACAGAGGTGGTTGACGCCCAGAGTTTGTCAGTATTTAAGAGGCATTTAGACAATATGCTTCATAACATGCTTTAGCTTTTGGTCAGCCTTGGAAAAGATGATCACTGTAGGTCCCTTCCAATGTATATTCTCCCTTTTCCTCCCTCCTCTTCTCTCATCTCATTATTTATAAGATGTAGAAGTCCTTTCCTTTTTCCTCTTCAAGATGACATCATATGTAACCATGCTGAGATCAGCATGAAACACATTGGAAGCTGCCTTTTCCCCTGCTGAGGCACATTGTGTGAGGACACGCCCCTCCACACTGCTTTGAATGATGACAGATGGGTGAAGTCACCACCAAGCAAACTATGTGAGTGGCAATGCAACAGAATTATACCTGGATCTAGAATAGTGAGTGATTGAAAATAGGATATCTGTCTTCTTCCTACAACCATCTATTGTTTAGCTTGACTTAGCCTCCTCTTCTGCAGGTTGAACACAGGCAGCTTCTATGGCCTAGAAATGTCTCTGATAAGGCAAATGATGAGCAATAGGCCATAATGGCAGGTTCCCACAAAGATCTTGAAGGAATACACATATTTTGACAGTAAAGTAGATCTGTTGGCACCTAGCAAATACAGCACGTAAGCTGCCTGCGATTTTTTGAATCCACTGTATGTTTTCAGTAAGAGAAAACAGGGATAATTTTTGTTTTTATAAGAGGCAATCACTTTTGTTTTTTCCCTGAATTGTATTTTCCCTAAATGAAATTTCAAAAATTAAAGTATGTGCAATATTGTAAGTATTCCTAGAGCAGTTCTTACAATTCTAATTTATTACAAGGAAATTAAAGAGCTATCTTTGGCAACGCTGCAGTTAGAAGAACATATTTCTGTCTGGAATTCCTATACCATACAAATTTCGAAATTATGTAAATGCCAAGATCCACATAAATTAATTATCCATACTGAGATCTATAAAGATTAGTATGTTCATAAAATTAAGTGGCAAAAAAAGTGGAAGCCACCTAATGGCAGAAGAGAAAAAATATTAACTATTAGATGCATAATATATATTAAAAAATCATTAAGAGTTATAATGTATTTTTGATTCAAAAAGACCTCTGGAGGTCGTCCACTTGAACTCTGTCACACCAGGGCCAGCTTGGATCAGTTTTCTCAGGTCCAGGCTCAGATGAGTACTGCATATTCAAGGATGGATATTTCTGTCTTTCTGTTAGCACAGTCTAAGTACAGTTAGCAGCACAAATAAGTAAAGGACACTGCATTTTTCTTCTTTCTTTTATTAAAGATGCAAGATCAAAGGTTTCACGAAAAAATAGAAACTTACAAATTGTGTGAATAGTTTTAATGCATTCATAAAAAGACATTAAATGAAAAATGACTAAGATTCTGTACTATATCTGCAATATAATCCACTGGCTTTATTCTGAAAATAATGTTGCCATTTTGTTCATATGTATTTACCACTTACTTAAAGCAAAACCTTTACCATGTATTTTCTCCAGAGAAATTATTTCATCCCCATTTTGAAAAGTCTAATAAAAAAACATTGAACACCGTCACTGGAATTACTGAGAGCTGATGTTTCTGTAGTAAAAAATTATGCTATGGAAATCAACAGTTACAGAGAGTTATACAGCCATACTACACAAGCTTCTAAGCTATGCTGCATTAGACCGTCTGGATTAGCAAAACAGTTTTACAATAATGGCAACTTTTCAGCTGAAACTTAAGCATTTCATACTTTGGATTAGAATGCTGTAACCTTTGAAAAAAAAATATCCAGTGTTACACACCTGAAAACATTCTTAACCAAATGGTAATACTCTAAGGTTAATACAACTTCAAATTGAAGCTGCAGTGCCTATATTTTCAGTATCCCCTTATAAAATTTAACTCCTTAGAATGCAATGTGACACACAGAAAATTGTTCTTTGTATTTACTCTGGGTATTTTCTTGCATACACTGTATAATGAAGCATCTTATCTTATGAAACCCACCCATCATGTGTAGATGGCATTCTTGAGGTAAGCACTTTTTGCATTGTAAGATCTGTTGTAAAATAACCACCACACAGGAAATGCAAGAAATCCTGTTACTGGCTTCTACCTATTCATCTGAATTATCCAATTTAGCAACCTAACAGTGTAGTCAGAGAAGACAAATTAACTTAAAAAAAAAGTAATTTTAGAAAATCAGATATTTAAACATTGTATGTTAACTTATCTCTGATAGTTGGTGTATACAATTACTCTTTACTTTATAAAGAGGGAGCTGGTTATCAGTGTTAGGCTAAGCACTATCAACTCACATAAAGGCAAGGTGGAAAGGTTTGGAAATCTCTACAGCATCTCCTATTTTAAATAGAACAAAAGAAGGTAACAATTCTGTTGAATGATACAAAGAAAAGAAGTAAGATTGTCCATTAAATATCCATTCTGGCATTATCTTAATTTACTTAGATTTCTGTTTATATAATAATTTGTGTCATTGTCAAAATGTTTATAAGAAAATGACAGTTCTTTGTAGATTTTCTTGTCATCGTGCATGTTAAAACTCCTGGGGTAGCTTTAGTAAATGATAAGCATGAAGTTCAGCTCCCACTTTCAACACCAGCCTTTGTTGATCAAATGCACTGTTAGCACTTAAAAATCAAAGGAAACACACACGATCAAGGCAAAATAAACAGCAGAAAACAAGCTTATCATCTTCTATAATTCAAACTGTCCCTAGAACTAGTAGGAATCCCCTTCAAGAAGTCTGCCAAAGGCTTTTTTATCTTTAATTAAAACAGAAATACGATGCATTTCTAAAAATTGGCTTCAATATCAGTACTTAGTTGTACAGTACATTGAAGTCAGTGTACAGTTTTTGCCATTTTACTGTAACCTCTGTAAACTCACAATTACATTGCATCATATGAAAGGCTGTGAACCCTCTGCAATCCCCATTATATCTGCTGAATGCAGTAGAGTGGAACTATCATGTTGGTATGGGGGAGATGGGAAGGGAAGAGACAACTGGATGCTGCTAGCTTACTGCTGCCGACTGGCTGCTGGACACCTCTACAGCACCAACTCACCACCAGAACAACTGGCTGCTGACCAGCATGTTGCAGACATTCTGCCCCATCCATAGAAAATCAAGGAGCAGGTGGCTTTGCTCACGGCTCTCTGATTTCCTCTAGGAAACTGTGTATATACAGGGGGATTCAAGTGTATGAGTCACACAATTTGTAACATGGAAAATTAATTGTGAGATGAAGGCAAACATGAGATATTTTCTAAAAGTAATGTTAAACAAATGCAATTACAAAACATGAAAACACATGTTTTAAAAATTATGTTAAATGAATGCAAATCTAAAACATCCAAAAACATTTTATAAAAGTAGTGTTAAACAAATGAACTCAAAAGATAGAAAAACACAGGTTTTAACAGTGAAATTCAGGACTGTGATCTGAAATCAGCTGTTTGTAATATGTTTGATTGAGTTACCTTCATCTCAAAATTTTTTGTTCCCCATGTTGCCTGTATCTCATTGTTAGCTTTTCATGTTACAAACTGTGTGACTCATATACTTGAACTCCCCTGCATATATCCAGTTTGGTTGCAAAAGTCAGGACCACTGGCTCCCTGAGGTTCTTTTTATGGTGCTGAATGAGCAGAACCTGCTGGGTGGCATCCAGTTGAAACTGGTGGTGTAGCAGCGCCAAGCAGCCAGTTTGTGGTGACTAGTCACTGAAGACTAGTTGTCCTAGGTCCAGATTAGCAGGTTAAGAAGCAGTAGACACATTGGGTGTCCAGCCCATTTGATAAGCCCGTTCCAATGTCCTCTTGCAATCCTGTAGTACAGTACTGAAGGTTATGTGTGGATACTGCTGCACTAGCTGCTCCACTGTAGCTTCATTCACCTGCAATCAAATAAAAGATTCTGTAATGTGCAAAAAGTAAATAAGAAGTATAACACTATGCGATCTAAATTAATGATTTAACTTAGGACTCCTGAGAGAATTTGCAGGATTGGGGTCTTCACTGATACTATAGGTTTGGGTGCATTTATGACAAAACAAATATAGAGAATGTAATATTCTGTTAAAGAAAAAAAAAATACACCATGATTTTATTGTAAAGAGAGACATTTCTAGCAAATATTGATTATTTGGTATTACAAATAAACAGGAAAGACAAATAGTCTCCATTTGCAAACAGCTTTGTTTAGAAAATGACAACAATATTTAACTAGTTATTAGGTTATTTTCATTCCATTCTTGACTATGCCTGCCACTCACAGAGTCCCAAACCTGTTTATTTGAAGAAAAGTCATCCTGTTTTAAAAAGTGCTGCCCAGAGCAAAGGACTTCTGTCTTGAAATAGAAGCATACTTACTAAAATTTTCTCAAGCAGACATAGGTTTGAAATTTATGATGCTACTGGCTTTGAAAAACAATTTTTTTTTTACATCTATAGTTAATTTATGGCACAGTTATGTTTATTTTAGGCATACTATGTAGTTACTCCACAATTAACCTCACTGAAATGAACTTGCACTGTATGGCAGCTATCAATGTGGTTGTGATGAAAAATAAGAGATAACAAAGTATGCAATCTATTCTATATTGCCGATAGATCTGTCTATCCATTAAAAATACAGGTCAACTTTTCCAAAGGTTAAAAGTCCTGAATGTCTTCACATACATCAGTGGTAGAACTTTTTATTTTGACCTTTTGGTGTGAGGCTATCATTGCACAATTTAAAACATATAAGGTTGTCAGGTCTGGGATGTCTCTCCTAAATCTTAGATATCAAAGACAGAAGCTTCATTCTTGATTAGACAAGCCAATCAGTGAAGCCTAGATAAAGCTAACACCTTTTTAACTGCAGCACTGTAAGGGAATTATTTTAAAGCTGATTTCAGTTCATATCACACAGGCAGACAGTTTTCTTTGGTCTTTGAATAAATAAAAGATTAACCTAAAACCCATAACTTCTACATAGCTCTCTTTGAAATCTTTGCTGAATACTTGGGCATTTCAAAATGTGTCAATATTACATTTAAATATGGAACCACCTAGTGGGATGTACAACTGACATAATTTGCTTTTTTTCCCACAGTGTTCCACATTCAAGGCCAAAAGTAAACAACTTAGACTAAAATGTTTACCACCATTATGAAGAACCATCTTGGGAATGATATATGTAAGCACAGTGACCACATTGTCTAATAATATTTTTGTCCTTAAGATATAACAAGGAACACATCCTTCTGAACAGTGATTGCACTCAATGAAAAGGATAAGTGAAAGGTTTCATATTGAGTTTTTCTACTTTGAAAATAGAAACACTCGATCTTCATTGAAGTTTCATCTAGATAAGACTGACTTGGACACAAAACTGGTTTAACTCTCCTTTGTAGCACAAACTGTAGTCTTTTGGCAAATTACTACATCACAGTAACATCTTCCAGTGCTGGAAAACAAGAAGTTACTTTTAATAAATCAAAATTAAACCAGAAATAGCAAAAGTCCTAAAAAAAACCAATCTGATATTTATAGCTGAATACATACCTCCAAGCTGTCAGCAACACTTCCTATAAATATTGCTTGGATGGGAAGAATCCCCTAATGTACCAATATTTGCTTGGTTTTTGTCATTTCAAAAATAGTCAAAAGCCTTTTACTTTAAATGTATGGTGCAGAGAGCCATTGCAGCATCTATTGTACTACCAAAACCTTCCCTTAACTCAGCCACAGCAAAGATGCTTACCACAGAGAGCTGCTCATTCTGCTCTTCTTTTCTACTCTATGTACTAGGTATCTGCAAATATTACTAATACATAGAGGTTATTATGATTTGACACATACCAGTTGAGCTTTATGTGTTAGAATGGTATGGATATTATGGCTTTAGAGCCAATATCATAAGCAGATTTTCTGTTACAGAAAACAAATATTGAGGCAATTTTTTACAAAGATTATAGCCAAATACAGGAAGACAGGTAATGATCTCCATGTCCTGGCCGACATAATCTCCATGTTGTAGTGTCTGACTCAATATTGAACACATTTACAGAACCTACAGTCTAGCTAGACATAAGTTAGTATGTTAACTACAAGGCTAACTTAAGCAAAATAGCATGGCCCATGATTCTCAGGAAGACAGATGATGCTACTATGTTATATTGTAGCACCTAGCACTAGCCGTTCATTGCAACTTTCTTCTGATATAATAATTACTGGATAACATAATATATAAGACAGTTGTTACTAATTGCTATTGCTACTTAACTAAACAAAACAAGGAAACTTTTGGTATTGAGTGTCCAATACAGTTACAAAACCAGGAGCATGCAGAAGGCAGGTAAAACCATTTCAGAAGTAACAGTGACAAAATCAGCTATTTCGTGACCATGACCTGAGTAGTAGAAGGTCTTCTGCATTTTTCTAGTGTTAAATGAACATTTCAAATTATTAGTTTGATCCTAGACAATAACTTGAGTGGTATTAAACAGCAAAGTAGTGACAAATTCTGTGTTCAAAGAACAGTTACAGAAATAAATTGAGTTTAAAAAATTGAGTTTATTCTCATGATTGAGGAAAAAAATATCCTAACAAGCTTAATGATAAACTATCAAATATAGGTAGCTTTTAGTTAAGTGTAAATATTTTTAATACTAAGAAAGTAACAGTAAATAGTTAGAAAATAATGCTGGACAAAATAAATTAAATGTCAGAACAAGAGGTTCCAATAAAAAAAATAATAAAAAAAAAATTCTATTTGGCAGTGGAACAATCTACATGGATCCAATGATGAGAAACAATTGTGGATACTTAAGGCACAAAATGATCACCTATCAAATTTTGAAAACTTTTCTTCTGCCACGACAAAGTCAAACACCAAAGCGGTCTAAAATTCTCAGTTCTTTAAACTTTCTGTAGCATTGAACTAAAACGGCACAATCCAAAAGGTAGGAAAATAGAGGGGAAAAAAAACATTCTTTGTTAATGAGTCAGATGAACAATGTCTAAGTTAGTATTCCTTGTAATCCCCAGTACCTTAGGGTACCAAGGATACCCTTAGTATCCTTGTCAACATTTCCCCAAATGGTAGGACAGAGATGAAAAGAAGCCTTTCCCTAACCATTAGAACACAAGCTTCTGTCTCTTTGTAAAGATGCAGTCCGGCTCATGAAAAAACAAAGAACTGAATGCAATTCCCCAAATAAATTCATTATGCAAACAGAGCAGTTTTCCGTTCTGAGCTTGAATATTCTGGTTTTCTTCCATAGAACCTTCATTAATCTTCATCTTTTGAGTTAGAATATCTACTACATTCAATTATGTTTCAATGCCTAATGAAAGAATGCCGTCCTTATCACTAAGAGTCCAAGAAATAGGTTTGTATAAACCCTGGTCATCAAACAGAAAAAAGAAAACAAAAACACAGACTGGTTTTAAAATTTATTTTTTTCTTGCTGAAATAAAAAAATATTCCAGGCCAAAAAATATATACATAAAAAAAACAAAGCCAAAAGCAAACAAAAGAGAAAACGAGTTACAGAAACTGGCAGAACCAAATGGTATCTGACAGGACCAAGTGGTATAAACTCCATTTAACCAAATTAGAGCAATTACCTGAGAGCCATAGTTTTTACTTTTTGCTTAAAGAGATCTGAACACATATTGCCTATATCTGGTGTGGGACCTCCTTAATTCCCTCTGATCATGATAGAGCAGTTGTGCAGAGAGCATTTAAATATTACCTGCACTAGAAAGGCAGAGAATACTTCCTCCTGTAATGATTAGGAATGCATTTGGGAAAGATGAACAAAAATACCCATCTAGTCTGCATGAAAGTGAAGAACATTCACAAAAGAGTTTTGGGGATGCTGCTTTGGAGGACTCTAATCTCACCCTGTTACATATACACATAATGTGGGTGAAATAGTAGGAAAAATGGGAAATCAGTGTTCAAACTTTCTCTCTTCTTTAGGGAACATGATCTACCTAGAACAGAAAGGTTGAAAAATCCCTCCAGTCTGTAAATATTTTTTTCCAGAATAAATTAACTGGTATTTACAAGGTGATTTTTAGGTTGGGGATAAACTGAAGCTACAGTTTTCAGTTATTAAGCTACTCACAGAAAAATATTAATTCAGATTTTTCATCTGGTATGCTAGATTTTCTCATCCGGTCCAATTGCCAGTATTTACTGATTGGTACACCACTCATATCTGCCATGGACCACCATGATTGATGTATTTTATGCCATCTCCCATGAGTTCTCATGGAAAATTCAAACTGCAAGCATACATAGTTAATAGATAATATTAAGGTTTGGCTTTTAAATATACCATTTTGTTCAACTGAATTCTAGTGAAAATTTTAGTACTGTTTTCTTTCGTTTCTACATTATAAAATCAGGAATCTCTAAAGAGATAAAATTATTCCAAAGAGCTAGGATCTATTGTTCTTTACATTTTACTTTCAATATGTTTCTAGAAAAGATCTTCTTAAAATGAAAGAAGTAAAATTTTTCTAATCCTGTTAAGATAAATTAGGGATTACAAATGATATAATCAGATGAACTAGACATTTATTTTTAATAAGACTGATAGCTTTATTCCCTCTGATGAATATGACTGGCAAACTGGTAACTGGATAAGGAGATGGTCTCAGGTACTCAACAACTTTCTTCCCTCAGTCTTCACTGGCAACCTCTCTTCCCAAACCTCTCAAGTGGATGAACCTCAAGACAGGGAATAGAGAAGCAAAGCCCTCTCAGTGAAAGAAAAGATCAGGTTCAAGACCACCTGAGGAACCTGAACATACTTAAGTTTATGGGACCTGATGAGATGCATCCTGGAGTCCTGATGAAATTGCTTGATGGAATTGCCAAACCACTCTCCATGAT